GCCTCGTTGGCTGTTAAAACCCATTGTCTCAATCGATCGTAGACAAGTATCTAGAGCTGGGAGACTAGACGTTTAAAAGCCAGAATCGAAACGGTATTATACGATAAATCCTGATTGAAATTGTCACTTTAGAATTTGTACACAATATACCAAATCAGTGCTCCATTTCGTTCCTTTCAGTTTTCATAATTGACTTTGCGTGTTTTTATTCTTAACTTCATTCCTGGTGGTTTGAATAGGATAACACTTTGCGATTTAGCATTAGTGGCACTTGTGAATTGTTAATCCTACACGGTTTCAAATATTGCTTTCTACCTAATTGTCTAACGATGGGTTTTTGTTCTCTGACGTGTCTCAAGAGTGCTCATGAGTGTAGGCGTAAATAGAAAGCTTTGAAAATCATCCTCTAAACAAAACAAGTCAAGACACGTCTTTAAAGGCTGGCGTCAGTACACTCCCTAAAAGAGGAGGTTCCTTTTTGTAGACTTGGTTTTGCTTTGCACGGTTTTTTAAATCTTCCAGAGCAGTTTGTTTGTTTGCTTCTCATTTGAAATGTAAGTTCGTTTGATCGAGTTGCTTCCTCGCCTGCAGTTTTCTTTCTCATGATCATGTGCGTTACTGGTGGACCTGTTACTAGGCTCGGGTAGGAAAATACACCATTCACTTGGTTTATTTAGATAGCGCATGGAATTGCTAATGAAATTGGATTAACATTGTGAACAGTCATCCGAAATCTAACCCAGACAATCATTTTATTGAAAGTAAGATGGACAACATCACAAAATCTCTTTGACATTCAACTCGAAATAAATTCACTTTGACCTAACACAACATCAAAATGAGTTCTAAACCTGTAAATTGTCGGCTTTTCAAACTGAAGCGACTTATCACAGACTAAAATATTCCTTCATCTTTAAGTGGCTAGGGAAAAATCATCCCCTGACTACCCAGTGTAAGGGAAGATTGCAAAAAAAAACAACAAATTGTTAATTGTTCATGCCTTCGCTCATAAAAAAATTGTAACTTTTCCGGCTTGAGAGCCATTGTATACTTTAACTTCCACGACTAATAGACACTTATCATCTCTAGCTGCCGAGCATTCATTGTACGTGAGGTTTTCTGGTGTTATTAATGACAGCTTCCATTTGGCACGAAAAAATATTTTTCTGTGGAAAATTGTCTGACGATTTAACACTTTTCCAAGAGGAAAAGTAGAGGAAATCAGCACGCTTTGTGGAAGCCAAATGGAGGTTATCGTATCTATGATCCATCAAGTATTTATTTGCGGCGCGCGGAACAAGACGATTACCACTGTTGATTCTAGAGCGGCTTTTTTTACCAAATAAGTCTATTGTTCATCACCTCTGGGAATTAAAGGGCTAAAGCACCATGAAAAGGAAGACGAGTGCCACGAAAGAAACAGCTAAAGTGCAGAAGAATAACGTTCTCTGCCACTGAAACTCGCACTTCTTAAAATCCTCATTCGGCCAATAGCCCCTCAAGCAATCTACGCATGTGTAATCATCCTTCACGATTTGATTGTAGTGGCACGTTGCACACGACCAGCAACACTCGTTATCGTTCTTTAAGACTCGAATGTGACCTGGAGGGCACTGGTTACCACAGGAGGATTTTGGCACTGTTTGGTTCCGCCACTTGATTCTAAAGCCGTTAATATACCATGAACTGTCCCAAGTACCAACAGTAACATGATTTTTGACAGATCCATTCGACTTCACAGAGATCAAAGAAAAAATATTTTCCTTCATATGCTGCTGACCCGAAAAACGTTTCCAGTTCTGACTATAGAAAACGTCTAGTACGTGTCCCAGACTCCTCGAAAACACTACTCGGTCGAGCTGCATCGTGGTGCGGCCGATGATGGCGTGGGATGCCTTTTCGTACGCATGCGCAAGCAAATAAATACTATTCATAGATGCTTGAATTTCTTCCTTTCTTCGTTTAGAAGGTGAGTCAGCTGTCCCAATGTTTGAGCAGCTGCTTTGATCAACGGGCATTTCAATGATGCTGTTGAACTCGATTGTATCGCCTTTGTTTTCGAAGTAGTCCTTGAATCCTTCCATGAAAGGAAAGTGAGGGACAATAACAAAAGTGTCATCTTCTGAGTTACCCTCAAAACAGTGTACGTCTCTTTGGTTGGTTACGATCCATGTGAATTGTGAAGTTGGTTTCACAATTTTAACAGCTGTTGAGTAAAATAAAGGGTAAAACAAATTGTCAATTCTCAATAATGCACCTTGTAGCAAAAAATCAGGGACGGGAATATATTCAAGTCGAAGTCATTTACTACGACGAACGAGTGCTGTCGAATGATGTTGTCAGTTGACAGAAATCAGAATTCGGCGCTCGAGTGAAACTACTGAGCCTTCAAATCGACCGATTTTAGTTTTGTTGTTGTTGTTGTTGTTATTATTATTTTTTTTTTCAATATTTCCCTTTTGCCCTTTGGGGTTGTTTATTAAGCACAGACATTGCAGAACTTGTTTTTTTCTCAATTATTAAAATACCCCGTAATAGACAAAAGATATTGTACGTCGCCACCGATTATCGAGTGAGCCGTCCGCTAGGAGTGTCGGAATAGTCTCCCTCCGAATCTTGCTCCACGCTATTTTATAAGTTGTGAGTGACTGAGTTGGGAATCGGAATGATCTGAAAACTTGCCCGGTACCTGTTGAAGGGCAATTAATCTTGGCTGTTGGAATCCTTACAAGATGCAAAAAAAAAAATACTGAATTCATTATATTTAGTCAATAATGCATGTCTTCTGCCCAAACACTTACTTTGCAATATTTTTTTCGTTTCTCTGTCGTCTGTAAATAAAATAACTATGGTGGACGCTGGCTCAGACAATAGTTTCACAATTGTCTGCTCATACGATACAGAGTGTGTTCCCTCGCCACTAAGCAAAACCTTCACCGCAACGCAAAGCTTTTCGATGTTGGATATGCGCAAAAATATTTCAAAGTCATCCTGATGTTCAGTTGAATAAACGACAGACACAGCACTCCATGTAAAATATTTGACAAGATCTGCAAGCGCACGAGCCTTGTAATATCCAATGGACACTGATTGCAAAATATCACCCGGACTGTCAGGCGTATTGTTGTCTTTACCAAAGATAATTTGCGGTACCTTGAACAGTCCTAGGAGAGTCGAAGCATCCTTGTTCTGAGAGGAAGATATAACACCCAAAACCGGCTTTAAATCGTCGCCACCATCTAACTTCTTCCTGTATGTATATGCAAGGTCGAGGGCTTGTTCTAAAGCTATTTGTTCATCATTACAAGTGTCGCACACAGTAAGTGTCAAAGATGCATTAAAACGCCGTGCGTCCCACTTTCTGTTCACGTCTTCCACTGCGTATTGCAGAGCATGCAGCCATAAAAACCCTTCTTGGCGCTTTGGAGATCCGCAAATTCCACGTTTGTCTCTTGAGTGGAGAGGCAAAAGAGCGCCGAACGCGATGTCATGGTTTACAGCCTGATGATAACTTGTAAAATATTGACTTTCACCTACTGAAACGGCGACCTGCAACTGAAATTGTGTAACAAAACTTAAAGCAATTAAAAGTACCAGCAGCCACCTTTTCATGGCGATGCTGATAACATTTTCCCGTTTCTCTCTTTTTGGGTTTTCTATTTGTAGCAAGCCGACATGTTTTGCTGAATTTTTGTGGCTTCATTAGTAAACATCAATATATAAATGATGGGTGTTTATATTTCAAAAAGGTCCACCAATTAAACAGCTTTCTAAATTGTTGACTTTGGCATAACGCCCAGGAGCAGGTACCACAGTTTAACTCAGATGTAAATGATGTCTTCGTTCGTCATTCGCTCCTCGTGCTTCACTTTTTTGGGACCTCTCTAAACCTTTGGACGCCCTCGCGTGCTAATCAAAGTCTCCTTTATTTTTTCATCTCTTTGCCTTTTTCATACCATCTAATTAGCACACAAGGAGTTCGCATGCACGCAGAGGGGCAAACCTTGGAAAAATTTCACGATCAAAAAATTTCGGTTTTTGTGCGCTCATACAATATGCTTAACATGATAAAAACCTAACCTAAGTTAGACACTGTGGTTACAGTGTATTAGGGGGTAAGAGTACTAGATGGTAAATTTTAAGCTTGGTCGCGGAATAAAGACGTTTAACATCTGACAAATGATTCATTTCTAGCCCACGTCCCACGCTCGTGACACACGTTAAGCATCGGCTCATTCAAACAAAAGGAAAATGTTTTAAGTGTTTAACACAAGCAAATTGCCTGAGGTGCGGAGGAAGGCGTGCGACGAAGTCGCGACTGGTTAAAGTCTTACTTCCGATTGGTTGAGAGGAAAGTGTATGATTTCTAGTCCAATCACAAAGCGAGCTGAAGGACACTGCCGACTTAGTTTGGAATTTCTTTTAATATTCCACTGAAATTTGCTCTAACGCAGTTTGCTTCATCCTCCATTCCTCATTGTGTTGTCCTCGTACGTGTCTTTATTCCGAAACTGGCCGTGCGCAGGTTGCGAGCGGCAGTCAACATTGACAACAACGTTAACGATGGTATTTCAGCCGTAAAGAAGGCAATAGATTCGAGAGCTGATAACTTACCATCGATAAATTGTATATTAGATTCGGTGGAGATGTGCTGTCAACAAACAACTGCAATTTTGCAAATACTTCTTGATTTTATTCAAAGGCATTGAACCGCCATGGGCCCTACACATGTAGTTAGACTGATTTTGCTAAGGCAATTGTTAACGAAAGATCCAAGTCTGAGGGGGAAATCCACCGAACGAGGGGGAAATCCAGCTACGGCCTAAACACCATATTTGTGATCTTTGCGCTCTCTCAAACTAACTTGAATTTACAGAGTATTCAAACTCTCTCCATCTAATCTTCAAGTTAGAGCCAGTTCATTTTGAGAATAACCAAAACGTTTTCGATATTACCATTCGCTTTCGATATGGCTTTATCAAACCGATAATTACGCTGAATACACAGACAGCCACCTGTAATTTATAATTGTCTTTCTCTGGTTCTACCCTCTACATTGCAAATTAGTCATTCCCTGTAAGGTAGAATTGAGAATTAACCCCAATTGTTACTCCGACGAATAGCCCGCTGAAAAGTGATTGCAAAGAAACTAAAAAGTGATACATGACGCAATCCATTTTTTTTCCGCGGTTGCCGACTCGACATAACCATCATAATAATCTCATCGCACGCCTAAAAATTGTATGCCAGAGATGGAACGTGTTACGCTTGTTATCTTAAGCTTGACAGTATCTGTGTTTCCTAAATAAGAACGGGATCGTGAAATTATATTGGCTAGAGTGGCATGACAGATCGAAAGGCCATTCTGTCACACTACAACACCATGACGATTCTCCTTATCCGCTGAAGTAAGGCCTATATTACTGAGTGATTTGATAACTGGTGTGAGTATCCACGCCAGTGAGTTTCCTCGTTGCCACAGCAACAGGCTTGCGTACTCTAAGAGGCGTGATTGGCATGTCATGTTCACGTGATACTTCTAGAAACGAGCGACAAATTTTCTCATAATCCTCGAAGTTAACTTGGTTAGGCCGTAGAGTGGGATCAACCCCTGTCCTCTCTAACAGCTCGTCCGATAATTCTGGCTTTGTGTGGAACAGTGTTCTAAGGAATACAACAAAGGTTTTTTTGGGTTAGTAAATGTATCGTGTCAAAGGGAGAAAGTGTGTATAGCGAAGAGAAATATGTCTTCAGAATTAAAACGAATGTCAAACGATCCAAACATCAGCTTTTGAATAAAATGGCGCGAATTTTTCTGAACCCATCATGGAGTGAAGAAAAACCACACCAGAGCAGTCCTGCATTACTTTTAACACTCAATTGAAATCCTTCAAGAGATTAATTAAGCCTTTAACACCCAAGATCTGATTGTTAATTTTCCCCTTCAGCTACGACGCATTTCCTTGTAAATTAGTCACAAGAATTTGGTGTTAGATCAAAACAGAAACTTCAACATGATAAATTTGAGTATTCTCATTACCTGTTTGCTGGATCATGTATGGAATGTGCATGGAGAAGTTACGTGTCAATCACTTCTTGGATTTAAAGGGCTAGAGACTGATACAGTCTTAAAATCTAGATCGATCTGTGCTCTACACTTGATTCTCTTCGTTCTCCTTCCTAAACAACGTTTGGTTTCATGTACACTTACTTGTCATATACCGTCAAATGAATTACAAAATGAGTATTAATTATGCTCTATATTACCGTAACGAATTTCTGATGGTTTTTCGTCTTTCTGAGAATATTGCTTTCACTACTTGCTCCACAACAACGAAAGGAGCTTCAATAAGGGGTGTGACTCGTGGTACAAAATGTAACAACATGGCATCAACCTAAAAGGAAATATGAACACAACAGATCCTCCCTCAAAATGACAACCACGATTGAAAATCTATAATTTCTTTACATTCCTAGAAAAAAAACACTTTAAAGTGAGGTGTCTTTACCTAGACGTATGTTTAAAATAGTGCTTTTCTATGCTACAAAGCGTTCTGTGTTTCTCAAAAGCTTTCAAAAGACAGATGCAATTATTTTAATGAAGAGAAATTAAGAAACGGTTCTTGTGCTGACTCTTAATCAGTAGAGAAAAAAAACACTACATTTTCCTTGTTCCTGTTTGTGACTCATGATGAAACAAGCCAGCTGCCACTTCATTACCGTTACCTTTACCTCCCGCTACACGTCCTGATGTAATAATTTAAAGTACATTCTACATACCTTTGGTTCTGGTACAAATATTTTGCGCGGTATCAAGTATTTCTTGTTGACTTCACACAGATACTGTGTCATAATGGAAAGGCGTGTGCATTCCTTATCTCCAGGAGGAGCTTGGATATTCTAAAGAAGGAAAAAAATTACCTAAATTATGATTTATTATTATTTGGGAGAAGCAAAGATATTGCAAATTACCTCTGGGTGGAGAGGTCCAGATGTGGCATTTGTGAAGAACAACTCCCTGAGAAACTCTGGGAGACCTGGCCAGGTCAATGTGTTGTGTTCTTGGGCAAGATACTTCACACTCTCACAGTGCTTCTTTCCCCCCCCCCCCCAACCCCCGGGAGTATAAATGGATACCAGTGAATTATTTGGGAAGACAAGTGAAATGCTGGGGGGTAACCTTGTGATGGACTGGCATCCCATCCAGGGGGGGAGTAGTGATACTCTCAGTCATGCTGAGGAAACTGGGATAAGCTGTGGCTAGGTGGGCCACTTGGCTCCAGTTGACTATCCTGATGACCCAGCAGGCACTTTTATTGAAATTCTCATATGAGTCACTCAGTTAAGATGCACATTTAAAAATCCCAGGACAAAATCAAGGTCATATTCAACGGTTGCCAAAGAAAAAAACCATTTTATCCATTAGTTTGCAAAACATGTTCCAACAAAGATAAGCTATCTTCATGAAGTAAATAGTTGGAACCTGAGGACTACTAGTCACTACTATCAACAACAGTCCTTCTCAGGTCTACAATCACCTGCACAATCAGACTACACCATCACATGTTATCTTCAATTCATCAATTTCTGATGACATACTACCACATGCCTACCTCTGCCACTTCTTTCTGAAACACAAGTGCCATTGGTGTTCTACCAAAAGTGAATGGCCCAGCTCTCTGTGGAATTGCTTCAAGCCATTGCAGAAGAAGAGGAATAGATACATTGAATGGAAGATTTCCCACCATACGAACACCTGGAACATCTGAAAATTAACAAAATCAAACAAACAAAAAACTTAGCAATAATTTTTTCCCAAGGTTTCAAATCTTTCCTTATCATACTTTGCTTTGTTAGGTTTTTTAAAAAACCATTTGATCCCTAAGAGTGAGTAGCATCTAATTCATCCTCACAATATCACCCCAGAATCACACATAAAGGTCACAAGAACTAAGAAAATGATCACCAAATAAAAAAGCTCTTGATTGTCAAAACAGTTCTCCTTCTCAGCAACATCAGAAAGATATAGAGAAAAGTAAGGAGAAAATGCATACTGATGTTAGGGTATAAAGGGTTTACTTAATTTATGGAACAGAAGTTATATTTGTTTCCTTGTGTGTTTCATGTTAAAATATAAAACACCCCTTTTCTTGAGAACTTACATATATTCCATGTTGTCCTCCTTTTGGCCTAAAAATGTATTATATTTGACAGTTATTGCTGACACTAACTGAAGTATTGTAAGCCTGAACCAAAATCATCAGGGTAAAGAGAAGATGGCTCCTGACTGGATTATCAATGCATCAGCTCTGGTCACAATCTACAATTTTTTTAATGGACCACTCTCATCAAGATGATGATATTAAGGAAACCTAATGTATTTTGGCAATATGCATGAATTTCAACTCTCAACAAACCACCTGTGTGCCAATGCACAGCATCAGCTTTTGGTAGAGCATCTGGTATGTAAAACTTCATGATGTCTGCATGATGTATTGACAGTCTTCCTCTGCTGGCACTTTCAAGCATCTAATGATGATACAGTAGTCAGAGAATAAGACACCAGTTAACTTAACAAAAAAATTAAATTTAACTTGATGCAGTGTAATAATGACAAAATACTATCTGAACATGACATGTTATCTAGCATTCATTTTCTTACATTATATGTGTCATGGTGCAAAGGTTTACCTTGTATCTATTTTTTACACACATAAACTGATTTGAAAATTTTTAACCATTAGTAGATTTGAACCACAAGCTTAATGACATATGGATATGTATTTCAAGAGCAAGCCTCTTCTAAGTTTTACTTTAGGATAATGAACCAATCAATATTGACCATTCCAGTGGCTAGATGACTCTCAAACACAGAATGAAAGTGATTGGGCTCATGGCATAGCCAAAAACAATTTTCTAAGCATTTGAACAACCAACACGTCTCATTAATACCATTACAATCTACAATGATAAGAAATATTACTCACTTAATCCTTCTCAAGGTAAAAAGTGAACAAACTGTTCACAAAAAGTTTTCACCTTTTTTTAAATGGTTTTAGCTCAAGCGTACAGTGTTCTCCTTTTCAGGCAGTAACCTGTAGTACCTCTTATTACCATTTAAAATTGCTTGGAATTCTTGAAAATTCAACAGGTAGAAGGATCCCTATTTTACTTGTCATGCTTAAAATAAGGGAGAACACTGAGTGTAACTATTGATTGTGTGTTTTGATGGTGGAGAAAAGGTCTCTTCTCTGGGTATTTGTGCAATTCACTCAGATTTCATCAAACAAAATCTTAGTCAGGTCTAGTTATCTAAAATTGCTCTTCTCTGACTCTCTTCACTGGCAAGGTGCTGAGGGTGAGGATAAAATCAAACCTTAACCCTTTAACTCCCAAGATCTCATTAGTAATTCTCCTTACCATCTGCCATACAATTCTTGTGGTGTTAGTTCAAAGAATTTGGTACTAGATCAAATAATAATCCCCTTCTTGATAATGTTATTCTCATTCTTGTCTGTTTGGTATTGCATTGATATTGTAAGGAGAAATTCTGTCTTGGACACTCATGGGAGTTAAAGGGTAAGATTCTTCACTTTCCTCAGCCACGTCAGTTAAAATGACAATGGACAAGTCAAATAGCCTATTTCCAAATCACTATTGGCCTCTTTTTCAAAATCAATCCTGGTGCTCATCCTTCTATATGATTATAAGTTTTCATTCACATGCAAATTTATCTCATTTTCATAGGAATGGTTGAGCACCAGGCCTCATTTTGAAAAAGACGCCAAAGGTAATTCAGAAAAAGGCCTATTGCATACTTCTAAAGAGGGAAGAAATCTCCTGTCAATTTCCACAGCAGCAACATGTTTGGCTCCAGCATGTAGCAAGGACCTCGTAAGTGATCCTGGCCCTGCTCCTACTTCACAAACATGGCAATCAAACACATCTGCAACTTTTGCAATCTTATCTGTTTATAAAAAGCACAGTATGCATATAGTCTAATAAGAAATCTTCATGTTTCCAGCAAGAACAGTATACCATAAAGAAAGATGTTTTAAAGAACATGTTACCAACATGAAACAAATTAAGATTCTAGTCATCAGCAGGGGAACTGAAATCCAACCAGCAACTTTATTTTGTAATCAACTGATGATTCAGCTATCTTACCCAAGTTATCTTTGAGCTAATCGATTAAATGAGCAAGCCAAACCTCTGCAAATGAAAGTTCCATGATACTTTCATAGTTAATGGTTGATGCCAAAAGTAAGGAGAAAAAAAGAAAACACAGTTGTTCTGAAACTGACACCTGAGAGATTCCACTAAAACAAATTTTTTCCTCTTTCAAATAATCAGTCCTCTCTCCCCCCTGCTCTTTCCAACCCCCACGTGACTGCCCCTTAACACACATCAACAACGTTGGCATTACCTGTAATGTTCAGATCAAGAATGAAATTTTGGCTAAGTTGCTTCTTCGCAGACAGCCCATACACACGAAGGAGGTCAGCCACTTTTGGCATAGGAGGAAGACGAAGAGGCCGTGGATTGGCAGACATTATCCAAAACTGGTTACTCTTATAGATACTTGATAATCATACCGATAATTCAAGCGACGAAAAACGGTATTGAAAACTAACTAAAGATACCCGTGCATCAACGTCCGCCATCTTGAATTTCCTACTTATGAGTAATACCGCTGACATTGTTCGGATTACATGTTTTGTCCCAGTTTTACTCGGCTGGATTCGCTATCCAGGGATTTGTTTGTCCGTAAGTTTGAATAAGATAGCATGTTCGTTTGTTTATTTGTTTTTAAAGAACAATAGCCCTAAATGATGGAGGACCGCATTTCTTGGTTAAGAAACGTTCTTTTAATAAAATGGAAATTGGTTTATATGCAGTTATAAACATCAATTTCTTTCTTTCAGTTGTATGGTTAAAATTTTTCCCGGCAATTACCGACATTCCACTGACTATCGAGGTTTTACTATTGCTTTCAATCGCTGGAAAAAAAGGTTATCTCTACGTGAGTGAAAAATATTCTCACAATCTTTTCACCAGAGCTAATCAACACGAAACGGACTTCGCCAGTCTATATTTTCGGAATAACCACATGTTATATTCGGCCTTGTTCGGAAATATGAGCGACTGACGAGTCATCCCCTTGCTAGCTTAATAATACTTTTAAAGGGACCTTGTGTTCAATTTTGCTGAGAAAATTACGAATGGGAGAAAGGGGCTGCAAGGGTTTTCTTCTGCCTTTGGTCTTTTGAAGGCCCAGACCAAGTTACACTTGGTATTACTTTATAGTGACGCTCTTAGACAACAAAGCGTTTTAAACAGGATTACCGAGCTGTATAAAAGAATACTCAGTTCTTTTGCTGAAGACTGGATTGATCATGACGAACTAATTTCATTTTTTAGGCACTAAAGATTCCCACAAAGGTTATTTTCTATATAGCAGCAAACAGCATTCGATCCCGCAAAGTGAGTCTTAGGGGCAAATGTATGACGTGCACTAGAACCATCGAGAGAGGACCATGTAAATGATGTAAGTACCAACTGGTCAGTACAGGGAGAGTACTACTTTGATCGAACATATAGGTGCACTTTTGAAAAATACTTAAGGTCTAACTAAGGTTATCCCGCCGTGATACAACCTTCATCTCAGCGTGCATTCATGAGAAACCCACACTCGTCAAATGGCAGATTCGAGCCCTCACTTCCTTTCATAGTCTGGAGGTGACCTCAAATATTTATCAGGTGTTATTCTTGCACACTTTTGGATATGCATGCAGAGGTTACTTAATAGAACGTTTATTTCTCTCAGCGACAAGGATGTATGTCAGAGAGAAAAACCCTTGGGCGATGGCTACTCTTTCATCACAAAAACTCCAGGTCAATAGAGAAAAGAGCACATGTAAAATATAAGCAAGCGAAACTTTACAACGAGCAGCACAGTGCTCCCGTTGAAAGGGTGGCGGGGTCAACTAAAAAAAAATATTTTGTGCTGAAAGGCGCCGAAAAGCTGTGCTGAGAAAGCGAGAGGCGTAACAGAAATAAAAACGTCTACATTTAACCCTTAAAGATTGAAAAAATTGCCCTCATGACAGATTTATAGGGAGATATCACGCTTCTGCGGCGTTTTCTGTGACTTAAGAATAGAATCGGTCCTCATACACCATCGTATGTTTCCCTAAAATCTCGATTGGTTTTGTGTTTACTTTTGTTAAAGTCGAAAGAGGGTTACAGCTTAACTAAGCTGAGCGACACATGCAAAAAAAGGAGTGAAATTATAAATACAATACTGCATATATGTCAAAGGGTGTCTTTTTCTCTCTCAAGATGTCACACATGGTTTTAAAATAAACTTTTGATTTGATAACTCAGATATGGAGCCAGCTAGACAGCTCTATTTGCAGCTAATGATAACTGAAACTTTTGTAAGTCAAGTCTTTTCACAAGCAATGGACAAGAAACGTCAGTTTAACATGTTTTGAATCTCATAATGTCGGAATATCTACAAGCGCCCGGTCTTTGGTGAAGGTAACTCTTTTAACTATATGAACTATAAATGCCAATCAAATGAAACAATGTTCTCAAAAGGGACCAGTGGAACAGGTGGTTAAGTTCCGCCCACTCTACCCGTTAATAAAACGACTCTCTTGTAAACTGCCAAGCGTCAGTAATTACGTTCGTCAACTGTGCCCCTATCATCAAAAATAGTCTAACAGGGAGGCAAATCACAGAGAGGCCAAGTGCTTTTTTGACATTTAAATCAGCGTTCGTTTACTCGTTGGAGATTTTAATTTCCGGCCATATTGTGTGGAAACCCGTTTGAAGATCCAATCCCACGGGAAGCCATTTCAATGGCTTAATTATCGCCTTATGCCCATCATGCTTACTGCTGTATATTCTATGCGCTAATCTTTTTAATTGCGTGAAACTTCAGTTATAGGTCAATGAGGATATTGTATTTACTTTAGAGGCAGCTGTATGTCATGGACAGTTTACTCACCTTGATAGTACAGAGTCGCCCCGAACGCTCAATCGCTTTGAATTCTTTCTCCAATCTCACATCTTCCTGTAAAATCTAAAGAAACAATTTTAGACGATAGGAGATGAATTTTAGATGATTTTGGAAGCCACATATTTCCATCAACTGCTCAATTTTTATGCTATAACACCATTTCCGAAGTTGCTTTCTTTCTTGTCGGCTGAAAGCACTCTCTGTTGACATATCATTTGCACTGGCGAGACGGTTGTCTTCTGACTTTTATTTTGTGTTCGATCTTCAATGAAATAACTTCGGCACCCTTAACAATTAAACTTTGTCACCTTCACTAAGGCAATGGATACACATCTTTATTGCAACGAAGACTTCAGAAGTGTAATATTGCCTGCTAAAACATTGTTATTATTGCCCAGTTTTCACTTACTCAAGAATTAAAGCGTTCGTATCAACCATGATATTTCCGACACTCGTGTCCACACAACCACTTATTTACCTTTGGGCTTTCGTGGGGAAATAAACTATTAGGACAAAGAAGCAGGGTTGTTATTATAATCGCTAATGGGCGCTTTTATTTTCCCAGCATCAGGAAATATTTTGCAGTAAGACGCTAATAGACAGCTATAGTCGAGCTCGATATAAGGTTACTGTGTAGTAATTCTGGGACAAATGTCGACTACTATAGCGAAACGAAGACTATAAGATATGGTAATCAATCTGCCAATAACCTTTAAGTGATTAGGAGATAAAACATTCTAAATATTGCAATTGGAGCTAGAGAAGTTCTTCGTGTTCACTTTATATATGGCTGAGGTTTATGCCTAGGTTTTCAACCTCCGATGAGTTAATGCTCAGAACGTGCTTTCGTATTTCAATATTTATGGGGAACTAATCACACTTTAAGAGAAAAAAAACGTTGCTGATATCGGCGTACAGGAAACGTATTTATTACAAAGCAGGTTAGTCAATCTTCAGATATTTATTTAGGGATATTCAGAAACGTTTAATAAACTGGTGGTTTATATTTTTTGCCTATTTGGAGGCAATGTTTGTCAACGTCTCCAGACGAAATGTGAACCAGCACACAATAACGTTCTTTTTTTTTTCTGTTTTCTTAAGCATATTACTTCACGATTTAAATGGATAAAGACTCTTTGTTAAAGTAAGACACCGGTTTTAAACGATCAACCAAAGAATCAGAGATGAACCCCGCAAATGAGCTGATAAAGGTTATACACTCTTGGCTCAGTGCTATAGTTTGCATAAGATTGCTCAATAAAGGGAATTCTGGCATAGTTTTCAAATTTGTTATTTTAGAAATTACCCAACAGAATGTTTTGTACCGAAAGTTGTTATTTTCAAACTACCTCGTTGAATAAATAATTCATACCAACATTGGCACACTCCAAGAGTGCAATATGTTCAAAATTAATTTCCAGATTCAAGATAACAAAACAAACTTCCCGCAGGCATTCATCGCATACAAAAACACTATGAATTGGGGGGGAAGGCCATTCAAATTGTTTGTAAAAGACATGAGGCAGTTCCTGGGTGGAAATGACAAGTCTGTCCAATTTCCCCTTCGCTAGCGTTTATACAGTTTATCGTAACAAAAAAAGGGCCCTCAAAGAGTAAGTCCACTTGAGATAAAGGTGCACTATCGGCTGGCTATGTTATGAAAGGAAATCAAGGCTGTAAATGGCTGCTCCTGGATATTATTAAAGTTCAATTCTTTAGCAAGTTTTTATTTGGACAGAACGTGGCTCCCTGAATTGATCGAGTTGACAATGCGATTGAAAATGCAGATCGAATCGTCCTTTTTCGCAATTAAGAATAAAAAGTTATGATTTATTTATAGCTTAGAAAAATTAAAGTACAACGCTCCGTTTTGTAAGCACTTGATAAGCTAGCGCTTCGTTTCAAGAGAGGGACGGTATTTTGTACTAGAAACTCCGAGTTAAAATGCTTTTGTTCGCGATAGAAGTAAGGAGCACATAATAAGAATTGAGTTAGCGTTTATCTTCAGAGTAAGGGTTCACAAGGAGCGATGCAAAATAAAAATGGATGAAGAAACCTTGAAAGAGTCGAACTCTTAGCTTGTACGAGGCATTGTAACAACTCATTGTTGCTGTTTTAGCAACATAAAAACCAGATTTATTTTGCACACCGACACTATTTCTATATTAATACTATGTCCCTAGAAGTAATCAAAGCAGGCATATGCTCACTTCACATATGCGTGGGCCATGGAAATCTAACCGAGAAGCTCTTCTTTTCGTAGCTTCGCTTTTTTCTCTTGGGAATCTAATTTCAAAAAATATACATGATAAAAACCGTAGGATTTAAAAGACGAATGGGTGAAAGGATTCGCTCTCAAAGGGCACACGAAGCCACACATATTAACCAATAACAAATCAAATTCTAAAGTCATCTATTACCTATCTCAAACACCAATCATGATCGAAAGATCGACATCGAACACAACTCAAATTTTATAATGAGTACGATTTTTCCATTCCTGGAGAGAAAAACCGTAGTTTAAAACAAGCACAGCATGATCCGAAAATGACTTTATTTTTTTTCCCTCTCAAAATCATACGCAATTAATGTTTACATTTATACGGCAGAAGTAATCCAGCCTCTTCGTCGGTTTGTCCTTTCTACCTGGCTTTACACCCTTCAGCATCTGCCGAAAGCAATTATTTACAAACACTTTCAGGCAATCTCGTCTTTACACCTCCTTCGAGAATTTCCCGCAGTTGATTCAACGTCTTCTTTATGGAAACTCCGTTCGCCCTCGCCTTCAAAATCAACACATGCCTTGCGGAGACGTTGACATTACTATGCTCCCGCACTCCTTGACTTTCAATTCCAAACTCTTTATTAAAAATTAAATTAAAAGTTTAAACAGCCGACCTTCAGCTGAACCGGTGAGACAACCGTCGCAGATCCCATCAAACGCTAACATAGGACAGTTTAGGTGTCTCACTATACAGAGAATAATGCTTTACCAGTTCAAAAAAATGCCTTAATTACTAAACATTTAAGTTCAGCTAAATAGAGAACGCTGCTAACAGACAACAAAAGAGACAAACTATTCTGTTTTATTCTAATAAAAAGATCTGTGTTCTGTTTCCTGATATGCGTATTCTGTTTTGCAACGGAAAGGGCATGAAGAGTTAAACAGGTATTCAAAAAAATCATACTATACTGTGCATCGGGTTTTGCAATAAAGCAAAAAGACATAAATGGAATCAAACACAAAAAAATAATGCAAGGTAATTTTGTAACTAAAAGACATGAACGGTAATCTCTAGATATATTCATGTGACTATTAGTACAAGCTAGGGATCAAGAGTTCCAACTGAAACACAAGGATAAGTAGCTAAGTATGTATAATTTTTGGGATGTTTCTCCAGGAATGAAAGGCAATGTAACAATGGATATGCATTTGTAAAAAAAAAAGAGGTAAAGTCGTTACATAATTTCGTCGTGTAGTGTTTTAGTAATCCCAGATGATTAAAGTGTTATATTATGTAAAATGATCTTCTCTGTATTAAAGAGCATAAGAAATGGGTTTAAGAGAAAATATATAACTTCTGAACACAAATTGGTCTTAAAAGTGATTTCCATGATTTAGCGACACGTTTTACTGTGAGGAATTCACTAATTTGCTTCACTTAACTTTCATCGACATTTTTCCTTTTACTCGATCAAAAAGGCAAAATCATGTAGAATAGCTGCAAATTATCACCATTTTGAAGCGCGTGTATTAAAGCAGACTGGAACTTCGAGCAATCGGCGAGAGGAGTTACGGAATTTCCCTTAAATTAATTTTAAACATTAGTGATATTTGAGTACAGCAAAAAATTCAAATGGGTGAATTTTTTTATCTTTTTAAGTCTTTGTTTTCTTGTAATCTCTCGTTTCAGTTATCTAGCGCATTTTTCCTAATTGTTTTGTTATTTCATGGGCTAAACCCTCGTTTTAACCCTAAATTACTCACGGATATGCAAACATTTTTACTTGGAAAAGTATTTTCGTCGAAAAAAGCCTGAATTAGTAACTTAACAAGTTTCAGTTTTATTATGCTCAATGGGCAATGAATTGAGATCAATGTGACGAACGCAAAAACCTTTGTTTTATTTTACTTTTAAGACATAAATTATATATTTGGATATAACACTCTAAGTTTAAAAGCTGATCTGTACATTACTAGATTCTCTAACTAAGAGAAACTCGGCAGATTTCGAACAAGTACGCACGAAAGTCAAATTCCACAAAAAAATAATTACTTTAAAATTTCAAATGAAAATTAAATAAACTGCAGTTCGTTGCTAAAGAGTTTTGCTCTCTTTCTCCCGTGACCCATACTTTAACCTGCATTGGAGATTATTTTCCAAGTTCTGATTACACCAACAGTGTACAGAAAAGCTTTTACGTCTCTATAAAGCCCGAGACAGCGCTTCTTATTAAAGAGCTTACCGTTAGCAACAAAATTTCGACCTTACATCGTGTTTTCTTTAGCATGTCAGAATGTGTTTATAGTTTGTTGACTCTATGTGTAGCCGTAAAACGATTTAATGAAACTATTATGTCTTTCCTATGCCGACTGGTTTCATGCGTTTAGCGAAAGGTGAAATGAAGGATTAAGTGTGGAGAATTACTAAAACGGTGAAGAGCGGTTTTCCGTCCTTTCTTCAAAGCCGCCGGCTCACACATAAATGCGCTGAACATTTGCGTAACTTTTGCACGCTGTTCAATTAGTAAAGTATTACTTTATACTTGCCACGTGTTTTAGCACTTGGGTTCGACAAAAAGCCGCTTTCTTCACTCAAAATTTACACAGTCAAGTTTACAGAGCCTCGGGAGAATGTTTGGTGCTCATATGAGAAGATCAGTCAGGACAAAGCACTAGTCACATTTTTCCGTTTCTTACCAGCTAGTAAAAAAAATTGACTATTGTACCTTATTGTCAATTTACAGCCTTCTAACGTTCTTAAATGAGTAAAAATTGACTTTTCATTAACTAGATGATTTATTGTAATCGAAGACTTTCGTTTTCGTAATAAGACTTCGTGCAATGATTCATCGCCTATAAATTTAAGTTTAGAACGAGTTTCTGCAAAAAATTGGATATACGGAACAGCGAGTCGATGAACTAAACTGTACACGTCGGTAATTTGCAAACAGCTTTTCACAAAATGTAAAGTACCGCGTTCGATTTAAGTTACTGTACTTTACAAAATAGTTAAAAGCAACAATAACAATAACGAAAAGCCACTTCCGTTTTGCTATTACCTTCTACATTGGGTTTTTGCGTCTACTTAAGACGATGAGCTGCCCGCAAAGTGAAATTTAAGTAATCATGAGGTACTTTAGAAGTGTCTTCACCAATTAAACTAACAATTTCAACGTCGTTTTGATCAGCAATAAATTTAATAATGTCTCTGCTCGCATTTTTTACATCCTAAATTGCCAAATAATATGTCTTTACGCCTCTACTATACCTTCAAATGTTTCTTTCTTGGTAAACTCGCTAAGTTTCGAGAGTTCATGGCGCGCCGTTCTCACGAGTGGAAATCGGTTTGACGCGCCGCGTGCCATGGGTACATTCGACTACAGTACGGTACAGGGGCAATGCGGCTGGAAGCCGAAGACGAACCGTACCAGTTTAGATGCGAGAAGTCAAAATTGGGCCGTAGAGGCAGGTATGGAGGCTCCAGACTCCTGTACGGTACAAAACCATCGCAAGACTGAGGCCGGAAGCTCTGGTAAATGACACTGTGGGTACTGTGATCCGTGTGTGTTGGTTTTGCGTGAGTGCTGTGTGTTATATGATCCTCGCTGCTTACACCAGAGGGTTCTCCATGAGGTGGCAAGGGTTCCGCTGGAAACGATGGCCTCGAGTCAGGCACTGGGAAATGGTACCTGCTATCGAAGAACCCCGTAGTGTCATGCGGATAGAAGCTGAACTGAAACGGCGTCCCGTGAAGGAGCTTGTTTCTTTTGTTTGTTTTATCACGTTTTCTTGGTTGGTATTTGTAATCAGGATATTGTTGTTTATGCTCCTCTTTCAAACGCTTGGCTTCTTCGAAGTAATTCGCTTTCTCTTCCTCGGACAGTTTTTGCCATTCTAAGCCCAGTTTTCTACTGATGTCAAAGTTGTGCATCTGCGGATTTTCGTTGGCAATGACCCTCCTCCTCTTCTTGGACCAAAGGATAAAGGCGTTTAATGGCCTCTTAATTTTCTCTGAAGTCTTTGTGGAATCCGTAGAGGAACTTGAATCAGTTGTATTCATCTTGCGCACACTGCTCTTGCAAACTGTCGTGTTCCGCTACGGAACTGTTGTCCTATTCAGTATAGCTTAGCTGTCCAACACCTCCGCTCATTAAGCGGTCAAATCCGACGTCCGGCTTCAGTGCGCACTCGCGGAATTGTTACGTTTGAACAATTAAAAGGAGCTCTGCAGTTCTCTGATAGTAGAGCACTAAACACAGGCCTCAGTATACACGTGTTAATTACCTGTAGCTCAAAAGATACAATATTGCTTGATATAGTCCATAAATCCTCCCACACAAAGTAATTAAAGCTCTTTGAATCAACTAACTGTTTTGTTATTGCTGGTTTTATTGGCGATACATTCTTTGTCTTTTAAGACAAGTTAATTTCAATACAGGGAAACGAGAGCCCTACTGTGCTTATGTAAACAAACAAATACCCTTTTGCGAGGCGTGATTGATATTTTTATAGACTTCTTCTGTAAAACTGAACTCATTGTGTGCTCTGTTTACAAATCTCTGAATCACACTGTGAACATAAATCGGTACAAGTTTAATATGTTTGGAAATTAGCATTTTTCATCTAGGAGCGCGCGCTATTAACAACTTTTGTCAAAGAAAACCAAACATCGAAGGCAAGAAAGAAAGCGTTAATACGACCCGTTTGTGTGATTAGAATCACATCAAAGCTTCATATGACATTTTGTGTCATTTTTCTTTGAGTCACTTGAGGTTTTTTTGGAAGTTCTTTCGGCGCAGGTTCTCATCTCTAAATATATATTACAAATCTGCCGATCACATCTTCCGACTTGTTATAGCATTAACAAACTGATCTGTGTTTGAGAGTTGGTCTCTATTTACCGATTTGTCAAATCGCCTGACAACAATTCGAAGGGTCAGGAATAAATGAAGACTAAATTTTGTTTCACGTCGTGGGAAGAATTTGCGGATTACTCCGTGAACCTATTCTGCAACCTGCCAGTTCTGCTTGCTTCTCAAAAGACCGACAAGTGCTCTAAGCCGACATGATATCGCTTTTGTAAAGCCAGGTTGTCATATAAAAGGACTTCAAAAAATGCCGAAAAAACAAAAGATTAGCAGTTTTACTTTGTACAATTCCCGCTATTCGTTTCTTTCTTAGCGCCGTTTTCATTGAAAGCGCATTTTATTACAATATAAACAGTGCCGGGTTTGACAAAGCGAGCATGAGAGCCGGTCAGGAAAAAAAATTTAAGTTCTGCACTCATTTGCATTACTTTGAAGTCATGAAAGAAACGTTCATTTCTCCATCGTTGCAATGTAAACTCACAAACAAAACACAAATTTCACTCTGTGTTCTCTCTCTGTACACAAACAGGTCATGTCCCCAACGTCTTTAAGGCCATAAACGGTGTTACAACGGTTATATACATTGCGTAAGTCATTTTTTAACTGCATTCTTAAGCGACCCCAAAATGGTAAAGTTTGATTGAGCAATTTTTTTTTCTTGGTGCTAACTACATTCTAATTGATTGCAACTCGACAGAGATTTGAGCAATAATTGTGAAAGGAGAATAAACCGCGCTTTGTGTTTATTTTGATTTTAATTTATTTCTTCGGAGAAATTAAGAGGTTATCGCGCAAATGCTTAATAACTGGAACATGTTTTGTAAAGAGCACTTAAAATACATTAAATCATGGTTATTTCAAAAAACAGAAGTACAAAATTTCAGATTTACGCATCAGGTAGTCCTGAAAGAAGGTTTAGTTTGACAAGCGCATTTTGTAATACTTTTTGTTTAAATTTTGTAGTAAGTGTGTTTTAATTCCAAAAAGTTCTCGCCTTCTTAACAAGCCGGCAAGTTACGGTAATACCGACTGCTCATCAAACAAAAGCACACCAGATATTGAACAATAATCACCGGCTTGACACATCAGTTGTGTAACAGTACTATAATGAACATTTACGCGTTCGAAAACAGTATTCTAAAGACGCTTATGACTATGCTATAGTCATTATTGATGCACGCTAAAAATACCCTAGGTTCCGTTTAAGGAAAAAAATGGAGGTCTTTATCTTCTGTCTGAAGGCGGCATATACCCTAGAAGTTTTCTAATCAAGAGTTCTCGTAAGATGCATTTTGGAGAAAGTGTCACTGAAAAAAAAATGCGCTCATGTGCAAATAACAATCTGTAAATCACAGACCGCAACGTAAATTCTGTCGTGAGAATTTTTTTTGTTTGTCGAGCTTCACTCTTATGCATACAAAATTCACCCAGTTTTGTTCATTTTGGTTGTCAACAGGACCATTTCCGCTCATAAGTCAAACAACAGACAGTGTTTGGACACATTTAATTTCCGTGACTAGGATTTGATTTAACAAAGAAAAAAGAAGACAACTTCAGTAAAACAGGCCATAGACGTATATGCATTCAGGCTGCTCTATTAAACAAAGCATTTCCTGTGTCTTGAACTTAATATCCATTTTTATTCACTCGACGACGAAGCCATCATTCTTTCTATTTTAAGTCTCTGCACAAACTTCCAACATCGCTGATTCCAAAGGCATACAAAAGGGATTGTCAATGGTTTGATGAGCGTCAGTGTTCCTCTTTCACAATAATGCGCGAGGTGGCCTGGAGCTCAGCTCGCTGGACACCAGATCGGGAAGTCCTGGTTCCAGTCTTTGAAAGGTCATTTGAGTTGTTGGGCAGGGCTCTTTCTAACCCTCTTTTGTTCAAGGTACCAGCAATCTATCTAGGGAACTTGTTGGAATTCTATCGACCACGTGGGATAGAACTCCAAACTCCTCCTGGCGAATGGAGCTACCGTGATATTCCTCACTGCAGCATGTCTCGCTACATAGCAAGTTCGTCCCAACCATTTCGCCCCGTTTACGATGAGGTCGCCCCATCCAATAGAACGACTTCAACCCGACTTTACCAGTGCACCAGAGAAGCTCTAGCAGCAATAAACCACCAGATCTGTAAGATCTTTACCTTCATTCGACGTAGACTTGACGAATATACGGTCTTCACCATAGACATGACTTGTTCCTCCTAATTGAAGAACCATATCGATATTTTTTTTTGTTATCGCCAAGAGATTTGCGTATGCTTAGTTTCTAGCCAAAGCTTGTCTGTTTAAACTTAAGGGAAAGTCAGCAGAAATGATCTTCCTTACATACCAGCAAAAAAAGAAAAAAAAATGGGAAAAGAAACTGAAGAAGTCGATCCTAATTTGATTCTTTATGGACAAGTCTGAGTTGTAAGGAAGAGCGATTAACATGAACGGTTTCCATTATTTCATGGAATAAAAAGCAAGCAATGATTAAAATTCCCTTTGGAAAAAGATTGGTCACAGTTCTTGATGATATCACACCCAGAGAGGACGATCGTCACGCAACGATTCGGTATAAAGAGAGGATACAGCTAACTAATCTGCTAAAAGTACCGTGTGAAAATGAAAAAGCATCGTGTACAACAAAAAATAAAAATGGATAAGATGAAAAAAGTGCCAGTGAAGATATAGAACAAAAAAAATTGGACCTTTTAAACATGCCATCTGAAAGTTACAGAACAACGGTCGAGAGTAATGGCGATTTTTCAGGATAATAAGTGCATGACAAAGCTCAACCAGGTGACGAGTTTCAGACTAAGAAAGGGTTCATCTGTTACACTTGGTTTTGCCTTTTTGCTTTTTTATCAAAGGAGATCGCATTTTACAGAGAAAGGGTTTTTAATAAAGGCATTAGTGTCCTGTGCAGAGATAATGCCGGAGAAAAAAGATCTTTTCAGATGATAGAATACAAGATACCAAACAAAAAAGAGGAATCGCAAAAAAAATAATATTGATAGTGCAGACTCTTTGGGCCTGCTTCTCTCACTTTTTCACCCCTGAATCGATGACCTGGAAGTAATTAAGTAATAGTAAAGTATGTTTAAACTTGTTTAGGAATGGATTTCTTTTTTTTTGCCACCCAAAACTCCTACGAACATCGAATGGTGGCGTGATTTGTAAGAACTCATTCGTTCGATTTACTGGTCGCAATTTATTGACAAATCTTCATCATCACCATCCCTATCGAAGCGAGTCACCCCGCAGGAATTCGCTGACCCAGTATATGCGGTCGATATGTATGTCAGTCAGTCCACAATGGTGCCAATAGGCTGAAAATCGGATTAATACCCGCGGGATATCATGAACCTGCGAGACTGAAAAACCACACGAAAAGCATGCTTTCTTCAAAGTCAAACGCAGTAACTTCAGCGCAGTTGTTGGGTCTTAATTAACCCTTGATATTGAGTAATTTCCATAGAAAATAAGCTGCCAAACAAGGATCTGGATCAAGCGGAATTGTGTCAAATATTAACGGCTTAAAACCGGTGCTGTCGGTCAACGAAAACAGAAAAAACGGAAAAAAAGGGAACGCGGTAAAAAGTTGTCCGTGAAAGTCAATCTCCTCTAAGATACTCTATTCTCACGGTCTTCCATGATAAGTTCTTGAAATATTTCGCTGCAAAGAATAAAATTCCTGTGATGATTATAAAAGCTGTGGCTTTAACAAAAGTCTACATTCACAAATTAGTTTTCTCCACATACCCCACCTGGAGTATGTAAAGAAAAAAAATACAGCATTCCTTTTTTGATAAACATACCCCCATCGAACTAAATTGCTAATATAAATATTTGAATGACATATCTTGCCAATGGACGTCATGCCATGAATGATAAGGACTGTACAACAGAGAAAACTACGTTAAAAAAAAACCTGAGTTGAGGTCTTCAAATATTTCATGATAAATTTACACTTTCCAAAATCCTCTTAAAAAGATCGAAGAGGAAAAAGAGTCAAATAATCGCAACAGACAGTAAAATTTGAGTGAAAAGATATCAAGTTGTTTCTTTTGCGGCAATAGCGGAATAGTTGAAAGGGATTATAAAATTATTCTTTTTTCTTTCTGTTTTGCTGGAACAAGGATAACGGTCTGAAAGTGAAGAAAAACTTTATCATTGAAATTGAATACCAGGTACCAAGAGAAAAAAAATGTCCCATTACCTTTTTCTTGGTTGAGAATTGATTCCTTAGTCTAACAGTAGACCAACAATACAAAGACGTCCCCTGATTGTAATCCTGAGGTAATCTCGACTTTACAGAGCCTTTTCTCAATTATCGCATGATTGTAAGAAGCTGAAGAACTTCAACTAATCTACACTGCAGGAACATATACTATAAGGTTGTTAACGG